TTGAGAAGCGCTTTTTTTCAGAAAACATTGACTGACGTGTGATCCGTCTAAAGCAGTTGAAGAAGTGCTGGTAAGTTGTGCAACGTGAACATGCCGCATATTGTTCACAAACAAATGCGCAGAGAACTGTCAAAATCAGTGTATAATCAGTAGTATTTTACGCGCAGACAGAAATGGTTACGTACGGTGATTAAGAACGTCAATCGGTGGTTAAAATGAATGAACAATATGACAAAAATAATATTAAATATTTAAATGTTCAGTGTCACAAATTTGCGGTTAAATACAGTTCTTCAAAACTTACTCGGCTGTGTTTGCACAATATCAGTTTGTGCCTTCAATAATTACGTTTTACTAGGTATGTTTAATTAAATTGTTAATTATATTTTGCTAGAATTGCGTTTTAATACAAAAAATCATTTATATGTATGTACACATTCACTTCCATATTCGCCATAATCTCTTTTAAAGGAATATTATTTTCATAAACTAGTATTTTAGATAAATTATTAAAAAGCCGATTGTTTTGATTTAATATTTAGTTGAAAGTGTATCTGATTTTGAATCATCTAACTTCAAAATTAAATATCTAAAATTAACACAATATCTATTTGTATTCAATAATTTCGTTTTTCTAAGTATATTCAATTAAATACTTAATTAAATTTTGTTAGAATATGCAATATTTATATTTATATACACAAAAATATTTATATATATATATATATATATATATACACATTTATTTCAATATATGCTATATTTCTCCATAATCCCTTTTGAAGGAATATCATTTTCATAAAATAGTATTTTAGATAAATTATTGTTTTTATTAATTATTTAGTTGAAAGTGTATCTGATTCTAAATCATCTAACTTCCAAATTTATTTTCTAAAATTAATACAATACCTATTTGTCTTCAATAATTATATTTTTTAAGTGTAATTAATTAAACAGTTAATTACATTTTGCTAGAATTGCTATTTACTAAAATAAAAAAGTACACACTTATTTCAATGTGCTAAATTTTGCCATAATCTCTCTTAAAAGAATATCATTTTTATTAACTACTATTTTTAGATAAATTAAAAAAAAGGAAATTGTTTTGATTATATATCTCACTCTGAACCATTTAACTTCAAAATTAAATTTCTAATATTAACACAATATATATTTGTCTTCAATAATTACGTTTTTCTGAGTATATTTAAAAAATAGTTAATTACATTTTGCTAGAATTGCTTTTTATTAAAAAAAAATCATTTATATATATGTACCCACACATTTATTTCCATATATGCAATATTTTGCCATAATCCCTTTTGAAGAAATAATTTCAATAACTACTATTTTAGATAAATTAATAAAAAGGAAATTGTTTTGATTAAATATCTGATTCTGAATCATTTAACTTCAAAATTTAAAATCCAAAATTAACACAATATCTATTTGTGCTTCCAATAAATACATTTTGCTAAGTATAATTAATTAAACAGTTAATTACATTTTGCTAGAATTACTATTTAATAAAAAAAATCATTTATATATATGTAAAGAATTATTTTCATATATGTAATATTTTGCCATAAACCCTAGAGGAAGATCATTTCCATTAGTATTCCATTCCATTAATTAGTATTTTAGAAGAATTATCAAAAAGGCATTGTTTTGATTAAATATTTAATTGAAAGTGTATCTGAATCATCTAAATTTAAAATTAAACATCTACAACTAACACCATATTTATTTGTATCTTCAATAATTACTGTTTTCTAAGTATGTTTAATTAAATCATTAATTATATTTTACTAGAATAGATTTTAATACAATTTTTTGTATTATTTATTTCTTTATTATTTTATTATATAAACTGTATCTTACCATAAGTTTATAAAAATGCAATTGTTTTTAAGATGATTTTGTTGGAAGTGTTCTGAATCATCTAACTTCAAACTTAAACATCCCACGTTGAGATCTAGTAATAGTTTATATACATTAATTATTATTAATATTTACAACATAACTATTATTAATTTGGTTATTTGAATTCTATTATAGTCGTTTTTGAGAATATTACGTGCTTGGCTTACATAATTATATATTGATATGTAGTAATCAGCAATTATTTTGCTATATTTGATTCGCATGCAATGAATCTGTAAATAATTAAGTCTATAAAGTGGTGTTTCATTTTCAATTGACTTCATGTTGCATACAAGTCTTACATGAAATAGATTCCTAATAAAACATGTAAATTATATTTGTACAATCGAATAGACAATATACAATCTAAATTTTAGACTCCAACAAAAAAGTTAGTTAGATAATGAAACAATTATTCACAATAGATTTAGGTTTATTCTATCCTTATAATTCTGCTTGATTACTTGATTATAAATATTGTCTATTAATTGTTGGTTAGTGACAATCAGAGTTTTGGTTAAAATTATATTTTCTAAGAGTAAGACTTATCTGAAAGTTAACAAAATATTTTGGTTTTACATTCAATACTTCAGGTTATTGTAAATGAATAGGAATGAATAAAAATTTTCTTCAATATTTAGGTTACTGATATTTTTAATATATAGTTTACCAAATTCATAGCAATAACTAGTTGGTATTGGTATTTTGCCTTGAGGCAAGTTACTTGAACTTCCCGATATGTGTGAATCAATAAACTTAATCAATAAAAAATTAATTTATGAGTGATTAAAAGTATTCCGAGTAGATTTATTACACATAATTAAAAACGAATGAACACGTTAACTTGGAGTATTTTCTAAAAGCTAATTTTTAAAAATCAATAACTTTTATAAATGAACCAGTTTCCGTAGGACTTTAATGATTTAGTATATTCATTAAGATCAAGTACTCTATCGTTATACCAAGTAAATCGTCTAATTCTAATTTTAACAAACGTCAAAAAAACTACTCATTTTCTCAAACTTTGATGAATTTTTAAAATTAAACTACTTGTCGTAAGGCCGTAATATTTCAGCAAGTTCTATAAGACTATGTTATATATCGCCAAAGAAAGTTCTATAAAAATTGGCTTAAATTGTTTTTCAACAGTTAATTGCAAGAAAACAGCTCGGTAGATTTTTACCTAAAACTAATTCGAATCATTCCCAAAATATCTTTCGAACAGTTTTTGATTTTTTAAAATCGATTCGGCAGTATGAGCTTAAATGTGGACGAAAATTTTAACACTTTTTCTTCAAATTATAAAGAAACGTCTCAGCCGATCGCTGCACAAAACTGAGAGAAGGCAATCTACATCAAAATACTTCAATTGGCTTTTATTTTTGAAATCGGTTCAGGCGTTTTTGAGCAAACGTCGATGAAAGTTCGAATTTTGACAAACGCCAAAAAAACTATACTAATTTTTGCAAACTTTTACGAATTTTTAAAGCTAAACGAGTTGTCGTAGGGCCGTAATATTTTAGTATGATCTATGACTATGGTATCTACCGCAAAAAAAAATTCATAAAAATCGTCGACATTTTTTTTTAACAATTTATTACAAGAAAACGGAACGGTTTAAAAAAAAATATTTTATATTCTATTTTAATTTATTGAAAATTTAATTCCCATTGCCATTGGATACCCACCTAAGTTACAATTTGCAACATTCGATCGCGCGATATGTTGCAACATTAGACATGGACATAATACTGGGAATATCAAATTGCAATTTTTACACGAGACACTATTGCAAATAATCAAAGTGCAATTAACTGATTTTGTAGTTACATTATACATTCTGTTTTTGTTCAGAGATTGTATGTTTTTACTATCTTATGTCTAGAGCAAAGGTTAACGAATAAATCCACATCTATCAATATCAGGGGACCGTAAAATAAAGTGTCAGTGGTCATGTAGATTAAAATTGTACCTTTAGAAATAATAAACTTAATTGGTTAAATGAAATTTCGTAATTAATTTCCAGACGGATTGCGGAAACAGATATGAAAACGAGTAATTTGATCAATAATTTAAAGATTTATCATATGGTGAAAGGTATATAGATAAAAACATAAAAAACACTTTTTATACAAGTATCGATTTAGATAATAGAAAAAAATAGAATAAATAGAAGAATTAGAAATGTTTTCAGTCCCAATTTATCTACCTCTTCAGTGGATACAAATACAAAAACCAAAGACTTGATTAACGATCATTTATGAAAACAATGTTATTTAATTTAAGCACATTTGAAAAATTAAATTAAAAATATTATATAAAGGAGATAGAGATCTACTCTATTAATAATTCGTTTTTTGTGTTATTTTGATTATCGAACACATTATGAAAAAAATAAAAATACTTAAGGTTCGAGATTGACTCGATTAAATTTTTTTTAGAAACATAATTTAGTTTTCTCTCTATGCTCTGAATGGATGCATTTTAACAAGTTTTTTTTGTTTTTATCATATATTTATTTATTAGCTTTTTATCACTTTAATTTTTTAATGCTTGAATGTAAATGATTCAAATAGAATATTATGTAAAAGATCAAATGCGAAATCAATTAATGCTAGTTTACAATTACATTCAAAAATAGTGATTTAATAATAATTTAGTGATTTTATATAATTAACTATATTTTTAACTTCCCGTAGGATAAGTTATAGTAATCGCAAAAAAATCGAAAATGAAAATATTTATATATCTTCACGATTCAGAGGTTTTTGAACAGTTTTGGCATACCTTAGCAAAAATGGATGTGTGTGTGTGTGTGTGTTCGGATACAAATTTTTGTTCAAAAATCATTCTATTCATATTGATAAAGAGACGTGCGGATTAGTTTTCAGCAAAAGCAGGTCTAGCCGTTTCGAAGATACGGGGCAAAAAGTGCCAAAAACGTTAACACAGTTTTTAAAGGAACGGAACGTCTGATTTTAATAATTCAAAAAACATTCTACTGGTACTGACAAGATAATTAAATTTTTGGGAAGATAGGTTTAGCGGTTTCGGAGTTCTTGTAAAAAAAACGTAAATAAAAATGCTATTTGGCCGTCGAAAATAATCATTAGACATATGCACATCATATTTTCAGATATTTTATGGAGATTTTAATAATACGTTTAAATTTTGTTCAACATCGTTTGTCCGATATGCGCTTCGATATTTCATTTCTATGCAGCTAAAGCAGCGCGATATCTTTGAAAAAAAGTTCAAAATTGTCAAACTATTTCAAGATATAAAAAAAAATCTTTTTTTTTTCAAAAGTCTTTTTTTTTCAAAAAAGTCATTTTTTTCAAAAATTTAATTTTTTCAAAGTTCAAAAAAAAATTTAATCTTATTTCAAAAAATTATTTTTTGATACGGGAAGTTTCAGCAATTTGCCTTAAGGCA